GTTAGTTAGAGCGCACAAATTCACTTAATCAAACTTTTTACGGTTATATTTCCGGAAGGTACAATTAGCTCGTCTAAATCGTGGAATATTACATATCGAGAGTGATGACGGTTACGCTGGAGACAATCCTGAAAGAAATCCTCTTCAAATAAGTAGAAAAAAATTAAAATTGTAACATAGGCAATTCCCTATATATGATAACGTCCTTGCTAAAATATCAACATCGCGGCCGCCGACGCTTATGAAGAAGTCGCCAAAGGCCGCGACTCATACGCGCCGACAGCCGCTTCGCCGCATGCGCCGCGCGCATCTGCCTGTTATCATATTTAATGAATCGACTATAGTTTTTGTTTGCATGAGATACCATTAGATGCTTACTTCCGTTTCAACAAGTTGCCATTCCAGCCCAGGTCGATCGTTATCTTTTCGGAAAAAAATCACTTCTGCGACACCACTTTCTACATAGTGTTTGATCAACTGCAATCGTCTACATAAATTACATATAAGAACATTAAAGTTTTAGTTACACACATTTTCAAATAAGTTCGTATTAGACTTTGAGAAAAACAAATGTGTTGAGAGTTTTGTATCAATAAAATCAAAAAGGGATAGTTTTGAGTTAATTCTTACTTTGAGGGTATAATCATCCATATCCTTGACATATAGATAGAAATGCTCAACACCTTGTATTTTGTAGTGTTCGATGAGTTCTACAAGAAGCAGCCACTTTCTTTCATCACCATACATTGGCGCAAGACAAAGGGAGAGATTATATCTGGGTTCTGAATTTCTTCTATGGAGTAATGCTGAAAACTGCAAGTTAGGAACCTCACCATCCTTACGCCTGTCTAGTAGAGGAACATATTCCAGAATATTGTCAAATGGACTTCCGCTGACGCTCATAAAATGTGCATTCTTTCGACTACAGCAATGTACAGCGAATTCGGGAAAAACAAATGATTCAGTAGCAGGTAGAAGTTCTTGATGTTCTGTGTCAAAATAGCGACAGTACATAGTTCTCCTAGATAATCATCGAATAATTATATGTGTTATCATTAAAATGCCGTCGAACTTACCCAAACCAACCATCTGCCTCTGTAGTGACAACAATATAATTCCCATAATCATATGAAGCGATTAAAGATAAAGTTGTAGCTTTTACTTTACGCTCTGAAGTACGAGCCTGCTTATGCTGTTCCAGCTGCTCGTAGTGAGGTACGCAATCCTTGATATGGTAACCCCGTTGTTTATTGAAATTTCGATCTTTGGGCAGCGCCTCTTCCTCTAAAAGATTTTAGGTCGCTTTTCACTACTTCTGTTTAGTTCAATCTCAAACCTCCAACACTCTTGTTGCTGTGTAAATGTAACAAAAGAATGGACATACATAGTACAAAACGCATTGTATATCTCACCACTCTCCTCATGGAATATATGAAGCCTAGAAATATTTGGATAAAAAATTGTTGCCACAAAAAAAAA